AGACATCTTCTGGTAAAAAGACTTAACATGGGTCTTTGGGCAGGAAGTGCCTTTGTATTTCATGAAATTTGGCACCTTGAATTTTGGGGGAATCCTCACCCCTGGAACTAAGCCTAAATCACACATGTCAAAACCCATTGTACCTTGACTTTCAAACCTGCGCATCCGCTCTTCAAGCATACGCAACTTCTTGTTTGATTCTGTTGGCTCATCAAAATTAGACATCCAGTCTTCCAAATTATCTTCTTCTAGTGGTCTTGCAGGAACACGAACGGGTCTCGGTGGTATGGCAGGTTGCTCAATACTCGGACGAATAGGAGTAGGCGGAGAAGGATTCCTCATAACTTGAGTCCCAGGGGTACCTTGGTTACCTGCAGGATTGCCGAGATTTATAGGCTGACCATTCTGTGTATTCAAACTGATATTCAAAGCTAGATTCACATTCTGAACACCTCTCGGATTCTCGACCATATTTTGAACACCCAGAGTACCATTAAGATTGTTGATGACACCCCCTTGCAGAGTCGCATTCAATGTTTCACCGCCATTAGTTTCAGCAGGCCTCATGATCATGGATCTCATTTTATCTTGCTGACGAGCCATGTTCTGAATGATATCCATCAGTTGATCAAACTGAGTATCCATCCTAGTACCCATAGCCACAACATCAACTTGAATTTGTTCCATCTACTTCTTGGAAGTGCTCCGAGTATTATAACAATGAAAATTTGTGGTAGCAATCTATGAAAGGGAAACCCAGATCGAAGATAAAAAGACTTGCCATAACCATCTGTCATAATATAATGTGCATGGATGCATGATTATGCATGAACTGTTTCATCATTTCCAGGGTACCCAAAAGTTTTGTCACTCCTAGGAACTTTAAAAAAACACGATAAGCGAGATAATTAACAATCGATAAGAGAAATACTCGAAAATAATTGGTTTCATTAAAAACATGATCCATACAATCAAATAGTAATTTCTTACAAGAATGATCCAAAATACGTAATGAAAGATAAATGATCCCATCCAACAAGATTGATGGTGATCGAATGACATCAAAGAAGAAAGAAACAACGATAATTAATGTGGTGGATCTCTGATTTCTGTGTAGTACAATGGTCCCCCCAGTCGGAAGTACTCTTCGCTCCATTGCTTGGTTTTTTTGAATAATTTCTTTGTCTTTTCACGATCTCATCCACGAGCGAAGCTATCAATCACCACATCTTTCTGAAATAGTTGTCCCTCCAAGTACACACATTTCTCCAGGAAGAGATCACATTCTTTGCATTCTGGAAAAGGTATAGGTACGAGTGCATCTTCCATCTATTTTATTTTGTCTTTGAGTTTTGCATTTTCTTTCATCACTTCGGTCATCTGAGCTTCCTTTGCTTCCAACTCCATCCTAGCAGCTTTAAATTGGTTTCCCAACTCTTTAGCTTTTGCTTTGTTTCTATTGTTGTCCATTTGAAACTTCAAAGTTTTTTTACGATTCTTCTCTGCATCAGCAAGGGCTATCTGATACTCTTCTGTAGATACAAAGGAGTCTTCTATCCTAGGTCTTTTTTTGGAGCTACCTTCACCTTCATATTCTTTTAGTTGACGGGCCAATTCCCTCTTCTTTTCTGTTAAGAAGTATATTTCCATCTTTTTGTCTTCAAGATTTTGACGAAGGTCCCTGTTTTCCAATTGTACTTGATAGAAGCATTCTTTAGGTACATCTTGTTGTAGCTCAGCGAGTTGGAGATACAAGGAAATTTCCTTTTCAAAAGGCAACATAAGAGATTTGACTCTTTCTTTTAACCAATCCACGTAAGGATCAAAAGCTAATACCTCTTTTAACCCAAAGAATTCTTTTCCTTTCCTACCAATGTGGGCCCAAGCAATTTTCGCTTTCCTTAATAATTCAAGATCTTCCCCCTTTTTGCAATACACAAGTTCGACCTCCTTGGTTGTGGGTGGATGCCTCATAGCATAACCTAATTGGCGAAGAGCGAGTACCGGGTTATAATTGATAATCCCTTTCGTTCATATGAGTGGAACATTAGAGAAACCTGCACAGTTAGAGATTATCTCGATGCTATCAACCTTAAGTTTGTACCACTGAATATCGAAAGAGGTGAGTGTCATCGCTCTGGATGCCCAAGAACAAGGATCTTCTTTGAATGGCCCCTTTGTAGGTAACTGTGTCATGAACCATTTGTAAAGCATTGGCACGCAGCATACCACTACTCCATTCTTTCCATACCTATAGTGAATGGCATGGTAAGTGTCGGCTAATAAGGTAGGTATCAGATTTTTATTCATGAAGACACACAAAGCAGTCAAGTCTACTATCTCTTTAATCTCAGGGAAGAGGATAACCCCATAAATGGTAGCCGCCAACAATACATAATAAGCATCCCAATGTCCTATGTTTGCTATTTCTTTATCCTTTCTTGCCATGAAATCTACTGGAAGACCACAAGTGACTTTATTACGTCTCTGCTTTCCTTTCACATTGTTAAGGCTTAAATAAAGAACCTTAGCAATGGCCTCATAGTCAGGCTCAACAGGGACCTGAATAAATGGAGTATGACTAGTAACTTTAATGTGGAGAAGATGAGTATACTCCTCAAGAGTAGGTGCTAACTGGTAATCTTGAAATGTAAAACAACGTAACTCCGGATCATAAAACTGTAGCAAAGTCTGAACAACCTTATCATCAACCCGAGCATCCAACAAAGATATGAGATTCCCATATCTTTCACCAAAAACACCCATATGTTGACAATTCATGAGATCTCTAAGCTCTTCAAGAAAGGTCCAAATACTAGGACGAAACTGGTATCTGAAGTTATCCCTTTTGGTCTTCATGACGATATCAGTGTTGTTTGCCATTTTTAGAGGAGAAGAAAACTCTGGAAAATCCTGGAAATGACAATGCACATGCAGATTAATCATTGACATATATATTTTTTGAAAAGTAAATATGCTATGATGTAACATGATGGGACCAAGGTTTCCACAATATCGGATGTTGCTGTACTGATGTATAGAATCATAGGTTCAAAGATTCGAGATAGTCATCAATAGTAATCACCAACCAAAGTATCAACAGAAAGAGGGTCACCAACTAAACTAGAGTCACCAACTGAACAAAGGGGTCACCATCAGAACATAGTCACCTTCGGTACCTGTAATAATCAAGTCCCTCCCCACTCACGGGTAAAGACTAAGTCAGGGTAAGGCAAGGGTAACTCAGAAATCATTGATCCGCCTGAAAGTAAAATCATCGCAACATAGACGTGCATGATGAAGATACCTTCATTTGAACCTCATCCGAGCATGGTATATGACATGACTTCACTAATCGGGCCACGTCCTATAGTTTTCATGCCCCCACTCTATTCCTAGTGTCCTAGTGCACTCTAGCCTGGGTACTGGGTCTTTTACCTCAAGAAGTATCATCCCAACCCCATAAAGAAACAACATAACAACAGTATCCAAAGTATAGGAAATAATAAAATGCAATGTATGAAAGCATATAATCAAAGCATATAAACAAATAGATACATAGACACCCAAGAAAATAAGGTAAACAAATAATAGCTAGGATCGACTTCGGGATAGACCAACAATAGATCAATATTTCCCCAGTAAAGTCGCCGGCTGAAACAACCGGCTGAAAATCATCAAATAATGAAGTCGCCATTGAACGTATTTTATCCCATATGAAGGGAAAGGTAAACATCGAGAAAACCTGAGAAGGGAGAAGTCACAGTCTTGCGACTGAGAGATCGGGTAAGGGAGTCTGTTACGCGAGCGGAAGGTATTAGCATCCCACACGCCCATAGTACTCTATGATATCCACTCATATTGTTCTAATCAAAGAGTGTGTTCTGAATATATATCTAAGTTGTATAGGGAATGCATGCAAAAGAAAAAATAATGTAGGGAAAATAAAAATTTGTGCTCGTCCGGATCCTACCCAAATGCCTACGTATCCCTTTTAAGGAATTAGAGCAGCCGTAGTTCGGCTTCAAATCTTTTTGTTGGTTTGTATTTTTAATGAACGAAATTAATTTTGCCTTCTGCCGCAACTCGACCTTTGGAGACCTACGCGTCATCACATAAGAGAATTAACTTATTCTTTCGAAAAGGTTTTGAAAGAAAAGCCCGAAGGTAAAAAGTGTTTGTGTTGGTTGGTGTTTTTGCTGCAGATAATAGCTAGTTAATCTCAAGAGAGAGATATTAGCCATTTCTCTATTTATTCATGAAATAAGTCTTTGAGACTTGAACCATACCAAGGATTAGAATGGAAGAACAGTAAGATCAAGAAGAGACCCGCTTATCATTTCCCATGTTCAACCAAGATATAATTCTCATCAAAAAAATTTAGGTGTTTTGAAGTTTGCAAGGAGGAGAGTTTTTTTTTTGTTTTAATGCAAGGATGCAAAAGAAAGAAAAAAAACATCTAAGAGAGACTAGCCTAAATCTATCCCTAATGTTATCATACATTGGTGGCCTATGGTTGATTTTTAAAGGTAAATCTCTACCATACGATTATCATGCACGGTTTACAACCTAAAGTTTATTCAATTTTAATCGACAGATTAAACTTGAACTAAAATCCTAAGGGGCATGATGAATATACAAACAAAATCACCCATAATTTGCATCAAGACAACACCAAAGATTACAAATGAATACATGACATAAACTGAATTAAAACTAGTCATTAAAAAAAACTAAAATAAAAATTAGTAATAGGAAGAAAATAAATTCCTATTTAATTTCTACGCGTCTTTGTTATCCCATTTTGATCGTTTTATTATGTGTTTCGTTACTAAAAAAAAGATAGGAGAAAAACTAAAAGAGAAATTGTAAGGAGAAAATAAAAGAAAGAGGGGTGATAACCCGAATTCTGGGGTATCATTTCTGTAACCAGGAACTAAGGCCCAACTAAGTGAGTCCAAGAGGGATATTTTTGTTTTGGGGCCAGAAAAGTCCTTAACATGTTCAAGAACAGCACGTGGGCCATGATGGGGGGGTGCAGCTCAAAGTGTGCTATTGGGCTTATGAAGGAAAGGAATAAACCAGGCCCAACAAATGAAGAGTCTTATCTAACTCAGGTTACTCTCCCTTACCTCTATCACACCCTAATATCGAACCACCGAAGCACCATCTGTAATCGCCTCCGGCGGTACTTCTTCGTGAAAAAAGGACGAAGCCAACACTTATGTATTCCTATCCTCTCCTTGAACTCAAACCCTAACCTCAATTCTCTTCTACCTCTAAGTTAGAACCCTCGATTCATCATAACGATGCAAAAACCCTAAGAGATGAGAAAAGACAAAATTGACTGAAAGTCGTGTTGAATTTGAAGCAACTGCAATAGGGTAATCATTCAACATGCGTCAAGCTTCCCAACAATATCAAGAAATGGTAAAAATGATGAAGAAACGAAGGAGATCGAGGCTTACCTGTCGGAGACACTCAGGCGGTGTTCAGATGCGGTGAAGGCGATAAGAAAACCAAAGGATAATCTTCAGAAGTGCAGGTATGCGTGGTTCACTTGATTCTTTGCTTTCCAATCCTTTCTTGGCCTTATTCTTATGATTCGATCTACTTCTACTGCTTTTCTTGACCTTCACTTCTGTTAAGAGTAAGTAATGAAAAATACTATAAAATCAGTATTGCAGAGTGTGCCAGGTGGTTATGGCATGAAGCGTTGATGCGCGATGAGACTGGGTGAATGTGTTACGAAGGTCGAAGGATGGTTGAAGAAGGATGGTTGAAGGTGAAGGTTGAAGAATGGTGGTTGAAGGGGAAGGTTGAAGGTGAAGTTGAGAGATAAGATGAAGATGGAATGGAAATGGGAAAGAGAAGCTCCAAAAACTGTTGACTCTGATGAAGGGTGTTATATAAGGGTTGATGAAGGGCAGAGTTAGTTATAGACTATTAGAAAGTTTGTTAGAGTTGTGGAAAAAAATTAGTTAGCCTTTGAATTAATCTGAGCCATAGATTTTTAGAAATTCTGTTAGGAGATCAAGGGTGGAGATTTGAATCTCAGATTAAGAATTAGTTGGAGTCTGATTATCTGTTTAGGAAGTTAGGAGGAGTTAGCTACATGTTTTCTGTTTTTGGAGTCAGTTTTGGAGGACTGTTATCTGTTTAGGAAGTTAGAGGGAGGTGAAACAGCACCATTAGATGAGAGGAATCAATTAGAGAATCTGATGGTCGTGATTAATCAGATAGGGGTTAGTTATAATCCTATTAGAGCTGTTGGTTTCTATTTGTAGTTCTGTCCGTGAATTCTATTATAGAATTCTGTTTTGACAGTTAAGAGAGGGGTTATGGAATAGAGGATAGTTGTAGATTCTGTTATGCTGTGAGGTTTTGTTGGACCCTGTCAGGAAATGAGTTGGTAAGTTAGTTTTGAAAACTTAGCTTGGATATTATGGATTGATCTAATATTTATGTGAAGCTGAGCTATTTATTTATTCTGATTTTCTTCTGTTAGCATAAATAGCTAGGGTAAATACTTTGTTATGAATCTGAGCTTTTGATTTCAGTTAGCAGTTTGCTCTTTTGATTTTTTCTGTGGACTTAATCATGGTGATGATGTTGACGAGCTGCCACTTCTTTTTTGCATATGTTTTGCAGGTTGTATGTTTTAAGTTGTTAAAGCGGTGATAAAAGGTTTCATTTAAGGCATACACGACAACTCGTGGCTGTTTGAATTCGTTTTTGTAATGTGAACATAAATTCTTGTGACTGATGCAACAAGTTTTGTGTGTGTTATGCAGGCCTGGTATGGTGCCCAGTTTAGTAGCAGATGAACGACTTAATGAAGGGTAGTTGTAGTTTGTTTGATGTTGATTGGATCTGTTCTTGTTAATGCACCATCTGTTTGGGTCTGCATTGATTTAGAAGATTAGGCTTAGGACTAAATTTCCATGTAAATCTTATGAATGAATTGTAATGTATTTTGGAACTTGAATGTTTTTTGAAGGATTTGGATGAATCTTGACTTTTGGTTTATGGCCTTTGATTTTGCAATGTTGAGACATGATATCATGAACTGGTTTAGAAATTTTAGGTATAAATGGAAGCTGCTTGAGACTTGTGATTGGAATTGAATAAAATATCCCAAATCAAATCATGAATAAACTTGAATCCAAGAATTTGAATGAAACTTGGAGTTTTGGAATATTAACCCACTTGCCCAACTTGAACCAGAATGAACACTTGAATGGAATTAGAATGAACGAAAATGTCTTCCCCTTTGAATTTTGTTTCTTGCATTTGAAATGAACAATGAATTATTTCTCGCACCTTAAGAAATTTTGATGCTCTTGATAAATCCTTAACCCCTAACTTCAATTCTCCATAATCAAACTACCTTGCAATTCGGTCCACCAGTCATATTAACTTGAAAACCTGATACACATATCTCTAATTGATGGAGTAAGATATAGACAAATTCAAACTTTATTCTCTTATATCAAAACCATGTTTTATGCCTTGTAATCTAAGTAACCGATCAACTTGGCCTTTAGATGATAATGAGCCACATTAATTGGGAGAGAAACCATAGTTTCGATGGTGAGTGTAAGCCCAAAAATGATGCTTTTTACTCCATGATTCACAAGAACCACATACATGATGCACATCCTTTTGAAAGAAATCCAATTGAATGACTTAAACCCTATCAATGGAGCCACATCTCATATCATGCACAAAACCATGTATTTGGGAAGAGGAGGACCTAATTCACAATTCACCACATGAGAAACAACCCAAGGAACTCAAAACTTATTGAGTATTTATCTCTCAATCCACTATAAAAACTGTAGCTGGTACGCCTACCAAACTTCTGAACCTCCGACGCTTTATTTAATGCAAATACATGCTATATTAGTGCATATGACCTAATGAAAAGATGTGAATGCAAAAGCCTAAGACGGATAGCAGGATAATTATGAGGGCAAATTTTAGGGTACAACACTTCCATATATGCATAAAAAGAACACAAAATGGAGTTATTAAAATAAAATATAAAAGATTAGAACTCAAAAAACAAAAATAAAACTCTAACCTTCAATTAACTCAAAGAACTCTTGAAATAACCTGAATGTACGGATTCCATTCAAGAGATTAGAAAACAAATTAGAAAAAACAATGAACAAAGAAGAACTTAGTTTTTAGTAAGCAAAGACGAACAAAGAAGAACACATCAAAACACAAACATGATTAAGGGTGAGAGATAGTGTAGACTTGTCGTGTTTAAGTGTGGATGCTTGTGGTTGAGGGATTCTTAATAGATAAGGTTGTGATTGAGATAAGGGTAAAAATGGTTCCCTGCTTAGTGAGGATGAAGGAGGAGAGGGTGGTGATGATGGCAGAAGAGATACATTAATTAGGGTTTCGTTTTCTTTTGGCGATAAAGAAAGGTGACAACATGAAGCTTTAGGGTTAGGAGGAGAAATCTGAATTTGATCTTTGTTTTTGGGTTAGATTGTTAGTGTTAGATTAGGTTAGTGTAGTTTGGGTCGTTGGGTTGCTAGCGACTTAAGTTTCAATGATATAGAATCAGTCAGGTTCGGATTTTGATGGGCTCAAAAAGCTCAACCAAAGCCGACCATATGCACCCCCTTTGAATCTATTTTTAGCACCCGTCTAATCCGTGAAACCGAGTTAAACCGACCCGAAATAGAATCCTGCAAGTGGGTCGATCGATTATTTCCAAGTGGCAATTTCTTGTCCATCCCTAGTTTAGACATGTTTTTATTCATTTATTGTGCTACTTTTTCCTTTGTTTTGCTTAAGTATTGAGTTTTGAATGGAGAAAGTGTATATTACGTGGGAGAAGCATGAGAATCCAGCTCATGTAAATTTGTGTTTAGAACATCTTGTCAAAGTTAAAGTTAGCATAAAACTCAAGTTAATACCTACAAATACTAATTCTTTTTTTTCAAGTAGGAAATTTGGGAATTGGATGTGAGTAAGATTGTTAATTAATGCTAAAAGAGTTTGTTTAGAACTAAATAGGTTAGGAAAAAAAGGTTAAGTAGACACCTCATCAAGACTGTTTTTTAGGATGGGTAAGGAGGATTGTTGTATAGGAGCAAACAAATTTCACATTTAAATTGTGATTAAATAGGATAGTATAAAATATTTATTATGGTTAAACTATAATTAAATAATATTTTTATTCATTTTAACTTGATTAAATTGTGATTAATCTACACAATACCTCTAAAAAATTTGAGACACATTTACATCTTAGATTGTATTGGATATATAAATTTAGAAAGAAAGAGATATAGCTTTATACCTTTTTTAGTCATTTATTTTGTAGTTGTATTCGTTTTGGTCGGGTATCTTTAAAAAGAACTATTTAGATCATTTCACTTTTTAAAATGTAACAATTTGGTCATTTTTGTCTATTTTATTAGTCAAAATCAATAAGATATACTAATTTAAAATCTAAAGTGTGGATCCTCTCATTTATAAAGTGTTCAACCTCCACATTTTCAAATAATATGAGACTAACAATTCACACTTGTCACCATGAGGAGCATCAACATTGGGTCAAAAGCAACACACAAGTGAAACCTTCGGTCCTCTCACTTATAAAGTGCCCAACCTCCATTTTTCCAAATAATGTGAGATCAACAACAACTCACACTTGCTTTTTCACCCATATACATTTGTAGTGTCGTTGCGAGAACTACAACGAGACACACCACCTAACCACTACCATGTCAGAAAGAATTTTGATACCACTGATGGGTCATCATAAGGAAAATTTACATTGTGTCAAGAGTAACACACAAGTGAAAGAGACACCATATATATTCTTTCAAAATCTTAAGGTAATAAGTGTATGGGTCCTCTCACTTATAAAATGGTCAATCTCCACTCTTTCAAGCAATGTGAGACTAACGACTTACACTTGTTTACAACACTCATACTAGTCAACCGTCATTCATACATATTTTGGTTAGCTCGAATGGATAATCCTAACCCTTTTCTTATTTAAGGATTTTACAAAATCTCTCTAGACATTCTATCACACGCCTTCACTGAGTCAACGAAATTAAGTGTAAATCTTATTAATCCAATAATCTTTCTCTATCACACGTCGTGGTATTCTATTGTCAATCTCTCAAACATAAATCAAATTAATTCTTGGTAACTTAGATCTCCGTTTAGATACTTTTTTCCATAAAGATAGACAACAATGAAAGGAACCAAAAACAAAACAAAAATCTTTCAAACAAAAAAAATCCTTTCAACTAATGTAAGAAAGTTAGTTCGGTGTGAGTTATTAAATTTAGTTTGTTTTGGTGGTTAAAGGAACATCCACGTCACTCCCCGTCTACCTTCTCTTTCTTTCTATCAAACTTTCATCATGAATACATTACATTCAGTCATAGAACAAAACAAAACAAGCAATGCAATCCAAATTTTCACTAAACAAACAAAACGCAAAAACAATGAGAAGAATCTGGAACCTTCTCTCCCATAACAACCCTAACAAACTCTTCCAATCCGCATTCTCGATCCCAACCAACTTCCGCGTCACTCCCTTTCGTTCTTACTGCGATCCATCGCGCATTCCCAGTCAAAACCGTCCAGGTTCATCTCTAGTCTCTTCAATCATTCTTCAATTCAACATTAACAATTTCTCTAAATTCACTTTTACTTTATACTTTGTTCAATTATGAAAATTGTGGCGTTTTGTTTGTTCAGGACCGCTTGTGCAGTACAAAAATCTCGTTGATCAAGGGAAGTTGCAGCACGATCCTTACCAGGAAGCTGTTGCTAAGGAGCTTCAGAATTTGTTAGCTAGGTTGGAGAATTATGAGAGGGAAATGGAAGAGTATCATGTACATTTTTTAATTGGATTTCTTCATTTGTTTGTGGTTTTTTTGGATTGTGTTTGAATTGAATTTGTACTTGTGTGCTTTGTGATAGGTTAATTTATCTAATTGGGAGAAGAATAGGGAGAACCAGCGGCAAAGGATTCTCATAGAGGAAGTTGAGAAGCAGCAGAATGAGGAGGATTGGTGGAAGCGGTTGAATAATAAAATCACTGGGAGATGGACCGCTCGGTAAATTTTTGGTCAATTTGAAGTGATTTTTGTTCAACTAGATTCTTAAACTTGTATATATTTGAGTCAATTTCAAGTGATTTTGATTCAATTAGATGCTTAAACTTGTATATTTTTTGTTGATTATGAGCATTTTTGAAATGGAAATAGTGTTTTTGAATTCGGCTTGTGTTTCCTTGATGCAAATTTACTTTTATTTGGGTAGATTGTATAAAATGTGTTGTGTATTGGTTTGTTTGTTATTGATGCAGGAAAAGGCCCGAGAATGTGGAGTCAGGGGTAGGAAAATGGGTGTCATATCTTAAACGTGAGAAGAAGCTGGATTCACTAGTTGGTCGCCGCCCAAATGCTCCTCCAGCTCCCAAAGGACTTTACATATATGGCAATGTGGGCAGTGGTATTTTACCTTCTTTTATTTTCTGTGTGGGTATATTATCTTCTCCATCTTTAAGATTGTTAAGATTAAATTGTTCTTTCCTCTAATTTAAAAAATAGGACTCCCCTCTCTTAGAAGATAAATGGGTTACTCTTCATTTCATTTAATGAGGACAAGTTTCTTAGGGACCGTTTTTATCTTTATCTTAGTCTCAACATTTTTAGCATCTTGTTTTGAACCTCTATTATTAATTGAGACTTCAGGAAATGAAATTAAGGTTTTTGGTGAACTCTCAAAGCTAATGGTAGGAGTCTTTAAAACTTCATTCCATCTTGTTAAGTTATAAAGCCAACTAGACTTTC